AAAACCACTTGCTGAGAGAGGGGTGACCAGACATGAGGTAGAGGTCTTGCACAGAGTACTAATGATGTGAAATATCTTCCATAGGGAATGATGGAAGACGTCCTCAGGGATACATAAAAGCATTGCTGAGCAGCACTGGTGGCCTAGTTGAAACTGCAGATCTTCAATTTGCGGTGGTAACAATCCTTGGGATTGTCTCTGGAAGGCCCCCATGAAGTTGTTGTTGTTGTGTGCTCTTGAGTTGATTTTGACACATAGCGACTCTATAGGACAGAGTAGAGCTACTCCATAGGGTTTCCTAGGCTGTAATCTTTACAAGAGCAAATCACCAGGTCTTTTCTCCCACGGAAGCTCTGGGTGGGTTCAAACCACCGACCTTCTGGTTAGCAGCCAAGCACTTAACCATCATTCCACTAGGGTGCCTTTTTCCCCATGAATATCAAGTTTTTATTGAGTGTATGATGTAGGTACTATGTGGTAAATATAAGTACTGACATAAAAAAGCTGAAAGCCTAATTGAGGAAGAAAAATGGGCATATGTGAATGACATTAATAATAGTACAAGACAATATTAAGAGATGCGTTGTATAATAGTGCCTAAATTCTCCAAAAAAAAAAAAAAAGGACATGGATAGTTGATAAAAGAGATGGAATTTGACCTGTGCTTGTAAATATGGTAAGATTAGAAGGTGGAAATTATTCAAATCAAAAGATATCTTCAGATAAATTAGATGCTTTTTACTAAAGGCAGTCCCCAGATTAAGAACGAGTTCTGTTCTTAACTCTGTCGTTAAGTCGAATTTGCACGTAAGTTAAAACAGTTTGGTACAGCTCATATCTAACATCAGTTAGTCAAATGTTTGTCTTAGTATATAGTACATAGTGTATATCATGGATTGAATTGTGTCCGTCAAAAATATATGTCAACTTGGCTAGGTCATGATTCCCAGTATTGTGTGATTGTTCACCATTTTGTCATCTGGTGTGATTTTCCTATATGTTGTAAATCCTACCTCTATGATGTTAATGAGGCAGGACTCAAACTACAAGATTAGATTGCGTCTTAAGTCAATTTCTTTTGAGATATAAAAGAGACAAATGAGCAGAGAGACAGGGGACCTCATACCACCAAGAAACAAGAGCCAGGAGAATACTACGTCCTTTGGACCCAGGGTCCCTGTGCTGAGAAGCTCCTCAGCCAGGGAAGATTGATGACAAGGACCTTCCCCAGAGCAGACAGAGAGAGAAAGCTTCCCCTAGAGCTGGCATCCTGAATTTGGACCTCTAGCCTCCTAAACTGTGAGAGAATAAATTTCTCTTTGTTAAAGCCATCCACTTGTGATATTTCTGTTACAGCAGCAGTAGATTACTAAGTACTTTTCTATGCATAAAAAACATTAAAGAACTCTTCCAGATACACTAAAACATCTTTACCATAATAGTACAGTGATAATAATAATGTTTTGATGCATGTCACAAAGTAGTGCCCGTTTGTTATTACGAACCGTTGTATGTACCTCGAATTTTTAATATAATAGGCTTTACAGGGTTGGTTCATAACTACAGGTTGTACGTAAGTCAGATGTTCATAACCCGGGGACTCCCTGTACTTCTAAGTTTACAATACCATGTTAAGCATTCTCTTAGTTTTCTAATGCTGCTATAACAGAAATACCACAAGTGAGTGGCTTTAAGGAAGAGAAATTTATTTTCTCACAGTTTGGGAGGCTAGAAGTCTGAATTCAAGGTGTGACTGTATGGGGGAGGTCCTTCTTCGTCTATTTTAGTTCCTGGGCTTGTAGATTCATCTGCTTCCATTGTCTGTGTCTATCCTCCCCCATGTCTGTGACTAATCTGCTCCTTTTGTAGCACTGTGTCTAATCCGCTCTTTCGTAACTCAGAAGTGATTAAGTTTAGAATACACCCTACACTGATATGACCTCACTAACATAACACAAGAAAAACCATATTTCTATACAGGATTACATCCATAGGTACAGGGGTTAGAATTCCAACAAGCATTACCTGAGAATAAGATAACTTCTCGGCCCTCAAAGAGATTACAGGTTAACAAGTAGAGCCTAGACTGATCATGGCTGGTTTTTACAGTGGCGAAAAGACCCACTGAGAAGAAGCTCTTGGGGAACCACGGGGAATAATGTTGGGTAATATAACAAATGTGCCCAAGTTCAGTTTGTTGGATTTGCACACAAAAGATCACGTTGTCACAAGTATGCGCTCAAGTGAAAAATGACTTACTTAGCTTTAAGAATTCAAGAACAGGGCTGTATTTAGGCAGAATGTCAAGAATAATCAGTAATTGTAGGAGCCTTAATAACAGTGGCCTGTGAAACTCAAAACACGCATACTCCTTTCAAGTGTAAGTGACTGCCACTACTTATAATTTTTTAACCACTTCCAAATAGATGAGGTCTGGGTTGTGTTCAGCAGTATAAATAAGACATGCCTGACACATCTGAATTATTTATATATTTATATGGCTACCCTTGGGAGATTTATAATGATATCTACCACATCAGCCCCTACTAAACCTATATAAGGAGTCCTGGTGTCACAGTAGTTAAGCGCTCCACTGCTAACTGAAAGGTTGGCGGTTCAAGTCCACCAGCGCCTCTGCAGAACAAAAGACTTGGAGATCTGGTCTCATAAAGATTACAGCTTAAGAAACCCTATGGTGCAGTTCTACTCTGTCATATAGGGTCTTTATAGAATCCACTCAACGGCACACAGCAACAACACACCCATATACAAGGTAGATGTGTGTCAGGGAAACAGTTTACAGAGAATTTGAGAGCCTGATTTAGATTTGCCCAAGAATCTTTCTGAGCAGGGACATGTTGAAGGTGGCATTTTAAAAAATTGTATTTAGCAAATTAAAATACAGAATATTAACATAAAAACAGGTTACCTGAGACGAGTAATGAACCCACCTTTAGCAAATAGTAGAGTCTGAGAAGATGTAACAGAAAGGCACCTTTTGAACAGAAGAAAAGAGAAAAGTAGGGAAAAATGAGAGCTGGTCTTGCTAAGGAAGGCATCTAGGGAGAACTGCGGGAGGGGAGACTGCATAAGGACTAATAGAGGCTCTTCTGTTTGGTTTAGGGTTGACCTTGAGCACCAGAGAAATTCAAAAGGTAGTGTGCAAGGCAAAAATAATGCACTGACAATATGAACACTGGAAATTTCCAAGGAAGAGGCCACATAATAGACCAACACAGTGCCGGGAAGTCCACAGAGCCAGAGGTCTTCTCTGCTGCTCCATTTACTTCTTCTGTGGTTGTGTGCCAGATAAAATTCTTGGCTGGAATTTTCATATGTGTGAAAAAAATACATATACTTAAACATTAGGATCTCACTCAGCACATCAAAATTCTATGGGAAACCTGTGAAAAGAGAGTGATTAAAAGGGAAAACTATTTACGTAAAGACGAGAAAACCCATGATGTGTGCCTCTTGTTCCAGACAAAATCTAGGCCATATGCTCCTTGAGGGGAACGATAGGCAGAATCTGCTGCACTCTTTAAAATGGTGTCTTTCTCGTTTTTTTTTTTTTTTTTTTGAGGCTTCCAAGCACATGGCTGATGTCTCAAAAATTCTATGCACTTATTTTGCAGTGCTACAGTACAATATACTTGAACTTGTATTTCTTAATCCACTCCCATGCAGTAAGTTTTATAAACCTCCATGTTTATGTAATATCTGTGGCAAGAATACCTGCAAAATATGATATTCAGATTCAACTAACTTGTATGGAGTGTTTAGTATGGCCCAGATAACATGCTATGCATTGACATACAGGGCTTTCCATCATCCTTTCATCATCGCTATGAAGCAGCCTTAAAAAAAAAAAATCCTTCTTATTTTTAGATAATTATAGATTCACAGGAAGTTGTAAATATAGTACAGAAAGATCTTGTGTACACCTCACTTCATTTTCATCAATGGTTTCATCTTGTGCAAATATAGTACAATATCAAAACCAGGGAATTGACATTGGTAGAAAGTATTTGTATAATTCTAAGCCATTTTATCACATGCATCACATGTAACCACCATTCTAATCGACATACAGAGCCATTCTATAACCCCAAAGATATCCCTCGTGATATCCCTTTATAGTAACTCCTTCCCATCCCCCAACCCCTACCGTGCATTGTTAACATTTGGAAACCACTAATCTGTTCTCCATCTTTATAATTTTGTTGTTTCAAGAACGTTATACAAATAAAATCATACAGTATGTGATCTTTTGATATTTTATTTTTCACCCAGCATAATGCCTTGAGGCCCATCCAAGTTGGTATATGTATCAATGGTTCATTCTTTATATTGCTGAGTAGTATTCCATTGTATAGATGTACCATAGTTATGTTTCCACCACTGCATGTTAATTGACAGGAAACAGTTCTTCAGATAGCGTAGAGAAGTAATAATTATATATGTGATTGCTTCTTGATGAAATACAGGCTTTAAAGTAATATCTGCTCAATGTCTTGGTTCTTTTTACCCTCATATATGCATGTTCCCTTACTCATTCATCCACAAAAACTACTGTTTTACCAATTGTGTGCCAGTTACTGTGCTGAGTGATGGGGCAAAGTGCCTGCCACCCACAAGGTCTTTTACAAAATGCCATATCTTTTGCTTACAGGTAGCTTGCTGGATATTAGTTGATTTTAACGATTTTAAATTTTAGTTGGAAAATGTTCTGAGTTAATGTGAATGCTATGACTGTTATATTAATATTTTAATGTGTATTCTTAAATTTATATATATTAAAAGATTTGGGTTAATATCCTTTGCCTTATCTTAAGAAAGCAATTGTTGAGTATGCATGCCAAATACAGACTCTAATTTTGCAAGCTATGCAATTCTGTACTTTTTCCAAATTGAGATTAGGTTCAGATGGATTTTTATTTGTAACTTGTTTACAAATTAATGATTTCCTCAGCTTATTCTGTGCTCTTTTTCCCCAATAGCATGAAAAATTAATCAACCGTCCACAGAGTACCAGAAGAATTTCTACAGATCCTCTAGGTAAGAAATATTTGCTCTGTCCTCATTACATTTGTATTTTTTCTCCCTTATATTTTATATATGTATTAGTGAATCCTTATAGAAAATACGACTTCATAATATTTGTCAGCCTAATAAATGAATTGTTCTTGAGGAAGTCACACACATATAAAACAAAATAACTTTCTTGAATGTGGATCTAATTAAAGTTGTGGTAACATCTATAAGAAATATTAACGTTACTAAGTGTTATTTTACTTGCATAACTAGTAATTGCTTAATTTGGTAAACCAACAACCACAATTTGTTCTGGAATGTTGTTATGTTTTAAATCTTATAGTGTGGTCACTTCAAACTTGCATTTGAGATCAATAGATTTTAAATAAAGATATGCTGGTATAAAACAAAAAAAGGAAATGTTTAATATTTGGTCATGGTTATGCATAATTCAATTACATAACAGTGATGTGGATTTCATGGATAGAATTTGACCTTTATTCTATTTTACCCTTTGAAACCATTCATTTTGATGTGTGTGTGTGTGTGTGTGTGTGCATATACATACATATGTATATATATATACCACATTAGTAACTATTAGCATCAAGTATTATACTAATTAGTCCTCCAAAGAGATCAGTGAAGTGTGTTTTTTATTCCTTCTTTGATTAATCTGTCAGGCCCACCACCGATGGTAGAGAATTTCAATCAAGCGTTTCCTTTGTGGATTTGCACACAAAATGTGTAGATTTTACTGAACTACGTTGGAAGTGAGTAGGATGAGAATAAAGTCTAGTATTATGTACCTTTTCAGGATCAATACAACTGTTTATGAAGACAGAGCTGGTGACATTAGCCAAAAACAAACAAAACCAAGAGCAATAAATAAAATGTTGAATGATGGCTGTTAACTTTTGAAGAATTTTATGTTCAAATTAAAACACAATTACTACCTTTGTAAACAACCACTATATAGTGTATAATGATCCTTCCCATGTGTACTAGGAGTTCTAGGTGGTTACTGTGCCTTGTATCTGGAGGACCCAGAAACACAGGTTGGGAGATATTTGTCCACATGGGAATCTTCCCTCATGACAAATACCATCAGTGCTGCTGTAGAAAGGATGATGATAGATGAGATTAGACATTTTGAAAAGGATAAAACTATGAAAAGATTTAAATGCCAAGTAAAGAAGTTTAGACAATAGGGGGATCTTAAGAGAGACTTATTAATAGGGAGCAACAAGATAAGGCTTTCAAAAGTTCTATCAGTTGTTCGGAGGATAAAGTGAAGCAAACAGCAGGAATACTAATAAGAACTTTTGCTCCTACAAGACTTCAGAAAAGAGGTAGTTAAGATATGATTAAGATTGAGTCAGTAAGGTGGGACAGTAGGGGAAATGTCTGAGAGATGTTTAGAGTTAGGACCAAAAGGACTTTGGTGTGGGGGATAAGAAAAGAAATAGGCCTAGAGGAATCTTGAATAATATTACATGTTCTAGTTTACTCAGCTGAGTGGTCACATTTACTCAGAAAATGAATAGGGTTAAGGATCAGGTAGAAGAAAAGAAAGGCCAGAGTTGACGACTTGGATTTCAGAAATATGCAGTTTTAATTGGCTGTGCTATACACTGGTAAAAATGATTAGCAGTTGAATATTGCAAATTTCTCAGGATTTAGGAAGCAAAGCCAAAGATGAATGTACAGTAGATCTGGAAATATTTCACAGAGAAGAGATATGAAGGTGGTAGCAGTTAATGAATGGGTTGAAGAAGCCTCAGAGCAAGCACATAATTCAGAGGTGTCAGGAGAAAGAAAGCCAGTGAAAGCAAAAGAGGATTGTGACAAGAGAGGGAAGAAGAGAACCAGGTGAGGCAGAGTCCTGGAACCCAAGGAAAGGAGGAAAGTGCTTTGTGGAGCTCAGAGAAGAAGAAGACCGAGCCACAGTTGCTGTAAGTAGTAATTAGGAAGAACCTAAGAGTATTTGCAAGGCTGCAGTAGAGTTTTAGGACATAGTACAGAACCCCCAAAGCAAGGTTTAATTAAGAAGTGAGTTGATGGTGAGGCACTTGCAGCTTCGAGTTTACATTAGACTTTAAAAGGCTTCATGGTGAAGGGAAGGTGAGAGGGCAGTAACTTGAAAGAGTAGCAGAAGCAAGGAAAGGAGGGAACTAACAGGGTTTGTAAGAAATATACAAGGGACCTGTGGTGAGGAGGAGATTAAGAAACAGTTGTGAAGGCAACGTACTTGACGAAAAACTCTGCAAGAGGGTATGGAGGAGATGGGTTCCAACAAACATGGAGGAGTGAGATTTTGTAAGAAAGTGATTTTGAAATAGAAAGGAGGTTATGAGAACAGAGGCCGAATTGTTCTGGGTAGGAGGAACAGACGTCGGCTGAGTGAAACAGTCTGAGAATGAAATTGCAGCTTAGGGATGGTGGGAAAGTTTAGGGTCATTGCTTTGGAAAATTTTAAATACAGTTCAGGAAAAAATTTGTAGGCTTTTAAGGGCTTAAATGACGTAAACTTGCATAGTGTTTGTTGATCATATTCAGCATAGTTTCATAAGGCTGATCAGACCAGAAATTGAATGCTCTGTGAGCAAATCAGGATTGGGAATCGACAAATTGAGAACAATGAAAGATGAAAAAGACAATATAGTTTAAGGTGGAAGCAAGATGATCGTTGACGATACTGATCATTAGGGATAGTATGAGCACAGAGGTACAAAATATGAGATCTATTAGAGGTGATTGAATGACTGTGGTTGTGTGTTGTGGAGTTGATTCTGACTCATAATGATCCTACACGGTGGAGTAGAACTGCCCCATAGGTTTTCCCAGGCTATAATCTTTACAGGAGCAGATTGCCAGGGCTTTTCTCCTGTGGAGTGGCTGGTGGGTCCAAACTGCTGAACTTTCAGTTAGCAGCTGAGAGCTGAACCTTGGCACCACCAGGGCTCCTTGATTGAGTGACTAGGGAACATCAGAAGAATAGCTATATTAGTGATGGGGGCAAATAGTGTATTAAGCAGGAGTAAAGGAACAGAAGCAGAAAAGATTAGGTGGTTGTAGTCAGCAGTAAATTGTGAGAAGCGGAGGCCATGGAAGCAGAATAATTTTGCTTGATGAAACATGAAGATTGGTCATGAAAGTCAGTTTCTAATATGGAGCCTTGGAACTGACAAGACTAAGGAACTATGTGGTCAGGAGTGTGAATGATTATCAACAAGCATGCTGAAGAATCTACCTGCTGATGGCAGGAGATAGATTATGTAAATGGGAGGAAGAAGGCCTTACGCATATAGTATGGACTGCAGAATGACTGTATCACATGGAGGTAGCAGAACGTTGGTTTGAAAGTGACAATGGAGGGAAAGGATGTGTTGACCCCTTTCCTAAGTGAGTAGACTTAGGAAAGGGGCCATTGGCCTCACAGTATAAAACTAGATTCCAGTTTTTGTAAGGAGGTGAGTAGTTGAGTAAATGGTGGTGACTATAGATTCCTGTGCTCACACTAGATCATCGCACCTGGCACAGGGGTGAGGAAGATAGTGGGAGAAAGTAGCTGTGATATGGGATCCCATGAGGTCTATGGAAAAAGAGAGAGAGTAGGATAGTGGGAAAAAATAGCTGTGATGTGGGATCCCATGAAGTCAATGGGAGGAGAGAGAGTAGGGCACAGGCGTATTACTGAGAGTGATGTATCTGAATTACACAGCAAAAGCGATAACAACCATACCTACAACAGGAAGAAGGCATCATAGATTTAAGGAGGCAGGAGGCACAGGAGATATTTGTGGGTCTAAGTGGTCAAAGAAGACCCTTGACGAGACGGATTGACACGGAGGTTGCAACAATGGGCTTGGACATAGCAATGATTGTGAAGATGGTGCAGGACCAGGCAGCATTTTGTTCTGTTGTACATAGGGTTCCTATGAGTTGGAAAGGACTCAATGGCATCTAACAACAACAGCAAGTGGTCTAGAGGCCTGAGTAACATGTTGGTGTAAAAGACTTTCTATAGAATTACTCTTTGGGTAGTGGATCATGGTGAGTTTGTGTGTGTAGTTGGGGAGCGAGGATTGACTAGCTACTGGTATAATTTATATATTAGATTAGTACTAATTAAGGGAAGTATCTTTTTGAACCTGAAAATATCCTTTAACACAATGCAGCTCAAAGTATGGTTGGAGACCCCAGCATCAGCATCACCGGAGAGCTTGAGAGAAATGCCAAGTTTTGTCTCCACCCTAGTCCTACTCTATCAGACTCTCTGGGATGGGGCCTAGCAACTGTTTTAACAAGTCATCAGGTGGTTCTCAGGCACAGTAAAATTTGAAAAGTGTTTCTAACTCTCTGCAACAGGTGGTACCCTGAGGAGGTGACCCCAGCCAATGCTCTCAGGTGTCCCTCTAGGTTCTCTCAAATCTTTTTACTGTTAAGAGACCAAACCAGAGAGCACCTGTATAGCCTGTAAACAGGCATGGTGAGCTAGATAAGCACATCCCCCTAGAATGGGCCCCTAACACTAAGTGTTGACATGTGCCTGACAGAAGCCCTTTGGGATAACTTGCTGTACTGGCTGGCAGAGGAGCTCTCAGAAGACAACGCCACGTCTCTGTCCTCATCCCTCCCTCTTCGCTGCAGCACCATTCAGCTCATCAAACTGAAGAACCCTGATAATCTCACAGAACAAATCCACGAACTTCTTAGCTTCTGGAAGAAATCGCTCCCAACTTCCACCGATAAACTTCGCCTTTTGGCACGTCATCTCCGCAAGATTGGCAGGGGTGATCTTTCAGAAGAGCTCAAATTCAAGTGGGAAAATAAAGTGTTCACTGAGCAACAGCAGTGGTTTGATATGGCAGAGTAAATGCTGGGTCGCTCTTACTTTTGTCCTAGAAAAATGATCATGGTTGGTTTTTAAGATAGTTCCTGTCAGCGTTTTACTAGCAGTTTCTAAATAGCATGGGTTAAAGTGAATCTATTTGATAGATATGCTATTAAGAAACCAGTTGAGACAAAGGGAGAAGCTCTAATCAGACAGTAAAGGCATTCCTGGTTTAGAGTGCTCCTTCATGGTCCGGTGATGTATGTTCTGCAAGCGTGATTGTCTTGAGTGTACCCAATTGTAACAGCATTTGTAGTAGAGTTTGCCCTGTTTACAGTTTAATAGCTGAGGTTGCTTTCTAAGTGAAAAGGAAAGATATGATCTACAGAATCACTTTTTTTTATTATTACCTGCATAAAAGTAAACTAGTTCCCCACAACTCCAAGCAACTAATTCACATTACATAGATACCCTGGAGCTCACTCACAGGTAACAACACCAAACAAATCGGGCAGCAGATACCTGATGCTGATGATAGCGAGTCACTTTAAGGAAACAGCTTGAAATAAATTAAAAACAGAATTAATACTTCAGCCATTCACTGCCGGTAACTTTTCCTTTATGAAAAATTAGCTTGGGATAGGGAAAAATTTCATATTTTCATTATTAGTGAAATGAGGCCATACAGAAAAATGAAGTGTCAGTGAAAAAATTCAGAGCCTGCTTAAACTACTTAGGAAAACAACTGGCTTTTTAAATCAGTTTAAGAGAAACCTTATTATATAAGTTTCGATGTTCATCCTTAAAAAAAAAAAAAAAAAGACACAAACTATAAGAAAATACAAAAAACTAAAAGAAAAAAAAATTTACCAAAACCCTTCCATCCATTGATAATCCCTGTTAATGTCTTAGTGTATAAGCTTTGAATCTTTTGAAAACCTAAAGCACTTTAGCTCCCTGAAGCAGTTTGATATAAACGGGGCATTGCATTAGTTTCACCAGTTCATTAATGCAAAACCACCAGAGCTGTGGCTTGTAAACATCAGTAGTAATTAGTTTCAGTTACTGGATGCTTGGAAATTAAGCAAATTGCATGAAAAATTAAGCTTTTAGATGTCTCTTGAATTTACATAAAGATTTTCTTTTACAAATTAGTCAGGGACTTAGGTATATATTTGGATGTATATTGAAAAAGGGGATTCTAATTTCCAAAACACAAATCTGTCTTTGAGGAAACACAGCCAGAATGCTCCTTAGAAGTAAGGATGGCAAGATTTGTCTCACTTACTTAGAATGTGTCATCAGGAGGGACCAATTGCTGGAGACGGACATTGTGCTTGGTAAAGTATAACCAAAAGCCAAACCCGTTGCCACCGAGTCGACTCCAACTCACAGCGACCCTATAGGACAAATAAAACTGCCCCATAGGTTTACCAAGGAGCAGCTGATGGATTCGCACTGCCGACCTTTTGGTTAGCAGCCTAGCTCTTAACCACTGCACCATATAGAGTCAGTGGAAAACAGGGAGACACTCAGTGAGATTGATTGACAGTGGCTGCAGCAATGGGCTCAAACATAGCAAACACTTGTGGCAATGTTTTGTTCTGTTATATATAAGGTTGCTATGAGACAGAGCCAACTCAACAGCACTTAACAACAATTTCCAAACGCATTCCTATTAAGAAACATTTTATTAGTCAAGATTTTTACTTTCTATATGTTGCCACAAATACAATATTTTTCAAGAAGAAAATGAAAGTGTCCTTTTATTCTATCACTAGAGATTACTTTAATAACATTTTGGCATATTTTCTTCCAGTTTCTGTTCCTGGAAGGAGATGTTTCTATAAATGTGTATATAGTTGTGAATATACTCATTCACCTATGTGCTCACATGCACACACTAACACATATGTATCCTTTCACACACAACACCTCACTCACCTCACTCACTCTCACACATGTTCACCTTGTTCTCACATCCCTCCAAACGCATGCTCACTCATACACTCCAAAACCCAAACCCAAACCCATTGTCGTCGAGTAGGTTCTGACTCATAGTGACCCTGTAGGACAGAGTAGAACTGCTCCATAAGGTTTCCTAAGCTGTCAATCTTTTCGGAAGCAGACTGCTACATCTTTCTCCTGGGAAGTGGCTGGTGGGTTCGAACCACCTACCAATCAGTTAATAGCTGAGTGCTTAACCACTGCACCACCAAGACTCCTTCACTCATACACACACCCTCACAAACATACACACATCACCCCCACACACCTGTGATGAACACACCTCAAACACACATACATAGCCCTACACACACACACACACACACACACAGTATCACATCCACTTGTACACCCTCAGATACAGGCATACATTGTCACACACTCCCTTGCGCATCCCACTCCCAGCTCTTTTATACTCATTCACATACATAGCCCTACAGACACACACAATCACACCATCCCAAATGCACTCTACCCCCTCATATACATGAAAACACACTCAAAATCATACTCCCTTACACTCCACAACCTTACACACAGTAATTCACACTTATATGCTCATAGACTCACATACACACCCCTTACACACACGCAAATTCTCACATCCATCCTCACATACACTGTCAAAAACACCCTCCCTCACACCCCCTACTTCCAGCTCCTTGCACACACACACACACACACTCATTCACATGCATACCTTCAGACACACACACATGCACACACCCTTTCACACACAACGCTCTGACACACATTGTTTTCCAGAATAAAAATTAATGCATGTATTAGCACACCAATAAAAATATAAAGATGTGTAAAGAGAAAGACTGAACATCTCTCAGTATCTCCACTTCCTTAGTCAAAGAAATCAGTCCTATGTATGATGTGTGCATCTTGTGTTGGAAACCTGCCATTTAACACCTTCATGTTCATGCCCCACCCTTGTGCACCCTGCTGTCTGTCTGGTAGGTTGACCTGTACGGGCCGGCCACATCAGTGATTCCTCTGGCGTCTAGTTGGGTTAGCTAATGGGGAGCCTCAGCAGGAGACTGAGAGGAGGAGGAGAGTGAGTTAGACTAGTCCCCTTTCTTCCTTCCTGTGAATGCACCATGGCCAGGCTATGTCCTTCCCTCAAAAGTCACTATCCTCTCAGGGAGGCCCCCCTTAGGCAACGCTCTCCTGGGTTTTCATAACTGCGCCTCCTTTTGTCTCTTCAGGTCTACTAGTAGTAACAGCTCCATTGCTGCTAATACAGAGTAACTGCCCTATTCTTTGTGTTTCCCCTATAGCTGGCCCACTCTTTTAAAGATAAAGCCCACTCTGATTATCCTAATTGAGTGTATCATATATTTATTATTGAGACCCATAACAACTTATACATACATTTTTATCCAGAATGGGGGTCACATAGTATATGTACAGGTTTAAATCTTTCTTTTACTTAAATTATGAACATTTCCCAATGTCTTTGAATGTTTTAATAGCAGCATGATACCCCATTTCATGACCATACCTTAACTCATTTTAGTTTTACTTATGTTTGAACATTTTCAAAATGGAATGATGCAGCGTATACTCTTTTGTGTCTGGTTCTTTTTGCTGAACTTTATGTTGCTGAAATTCATCCATGTTGTGCGTGGCAAGAGTTTGTTCGTTCTCATTAATGGATAATATTGCCTTATATGCATATCCCACAAATTACATATCTATTCTACTATAGATAGGCATCTGAGTCACTTCCAGTTTGGAGATACCACCAATAGTGCTCTTATGAACATTCTGTATATGCCTTTTGGTGAACATGTATATTCATTTCTGCCAGGTACATACCTAAGAGTAGAATAATTTGTTACCATAGTTAATTTAACCTTTCCCCTCTTACTTTATATTCAGGTGGATTCCTTTTTTTCATAAAAGTAATATTGAGTGGACGGACCCCCGAGATAATCTTTAAACATTAAACCAAAAATATCCCGTGGAGTCTTCTTAAAACCAAACAATACTTTAGCTTAACCAGTAAGAACGTCTGTTTTGAGCTTTATGCTCTTTTTAGATCTACCTATACAGAATCAAACCGACAACAACAACTTGAAAGATAGGATAGGAACCTTAGGGAGCAGTTAGCTTATGTTAATGGGGGAGGAACTACTCAGAAAAGGAGGGTGAAAATGGTGGGACAACTCGAAGAATGTAATCAGTGTCAGTAAATTATACATGTAGAAACTGTTGAATTGGTGTATGTTCTGCTGTGTATACTCCTAACAACAACAGGATAGATGGAATAGATTATGCAAAAAGGGAAAAATATTGAGATTACAATTTTTATGCATAAATATTAAATAATAATTGTTACTTCGTTAGGATAAATTCCTAGAAATGCAGTTAAATACTATGAACATTTTTAAGGCTCTTCATACACACTGTCAAATTGCCATTTTGTATTCCAATCATTAGTTTATGAAAATTCTTAGGAAAAATTATTTTTAAGTATATATATGAATGAATTAACTTGAGGCACCTAACATGAAATTCTACATCCTAGGTAAGCCTGGAAAGTCTTCAATTGCTCTTTTGAGGGGAAAAAAATGTCATTGGCTTATTTTATCATTTTTTACAGTATTACCTTCATAATGAATAGAGTATGTTCCATTGACATTGCCATTTTAAAAAAGTATCAGAAGAGAAATAATATAGCAGGCATACAGACAGATTTCAGGATGTCAGAGAGCTTATGGTATCAAAATATAAATCAGTAAAGGAGGGTGAGAATGGCTGTACAATTCGAAGAATGTAGTCAATGTCACTGTATTGTCCATGTAAAAATTGTTGAATTGGTGTATGTTTTGCTGTGTATATTATCAACAACAATAAAAGTGTAACTAGATTCCAATGAAAGGAATGTTAAATTCATTTATTCAACTGATACATATTGAACACAAAATCTGAGATAAGCAATGTGTTCAATACTAGAAACTCAAAAATGAGTAAGAGACAGTCTCCTTAGGGTTATGTTCCCTGTTTAAAGGAAGAGTAAA